TCCCACGGAGACGTGGTACGAATTGGTTATGCGTTACTGCCTGTACGCCGCGGGCGTTTTCCAGCTTGTTTGCTTGTTGATGTTGTTTATACGGCCGCAGCTTGGTGAAAGCGACTTGAGCAATCCTGCGGTGATTGCATTTGCATATATTTAATATATTGTTTGTTAACGTATTTATTCAGGCTAAAGCTTCGTGTGCTTCTTCTGCTGCCAGTCCTCTGGCGACCGCTCGTAAGACCTCAACGACGAGATATAAGAAGGCCTGCAGGGCGGACAAGAAGAAGCGAGCTTAACGCTAGCCGATAGGCTTCAGAAACGTGATTATCATCTAACGATGAACGATGACATCGACCAGGAGACGGTGAACGTGTGTAGCGCTCTGAGCTTCGTTTTGATCTTCGTTGTGGTCGGCATCCCGTTGTGGTGGACGACGACTGAGGTGTACCGCGCTTCGTTGCCGTACTCGGCCATTTCGCAGCTTCGCTCAAACTTGTATGTTCTACACGTAAAGGTACGTCTTCTATGGGTAGACGACATCCAAGTGGACGTTGGGCGGACGGTGGACGCGGCGTTGAGGGCGTTCCACCAGCATCACTCCAACTCCTCCCTGATGAAGGTGATGGTCAGGTCAGCTAAGCAACATACCGGTTCGGCCGAGTTTTTTTTTTCAGTGGTATTTCTTCGTCTTTTTATAGCTATGAATCGAGAATCGTCGATGGACCTGAACTTCAACGGTTGTCATCGGTGCTGGTCGGCGACCCGTCGAAGACCGACCTCAGCCGGTTGAGGTGCGGCGGCGTGGACTCGGCAACGATTACGATTTACCTGTTGCCTGTCAAAGAGGAACATCGTGTAGCCCTTCCGTTTATAAGCTGCGAATATGGGTGCTCGTTTGTCAGTGCTCGTAGCAAAGACCTCGTGGTCAAAGACATTCTGGCGATCGTCAATACGAGGATAAACCCGGACGTCATCAACGCGATTGTGCGAAAGAACATGCGAAGTATTGTTGACGTCTCGCCCAGTGTCAAACCTGTGATGTCGAACGCCGGCCAACGAGCCCATGTTGAATCTGTTCCCGTCATTAAACCGGAATACCAGCTGGAAATCTACTTCGTTAACCCGAAACCAACCCCTGATGACGTCATTCGTTCCGAAAGCCCCGATTTGCGAATTCTGAGGAAGTTCGTCCATCAGCTGTCGAACGTAGGTGAAATGTCGACTGTCCGTTGTCACATATAGTTCACTGAAATAGCTTGCTGATGTGGTTAAAGTAGTAGGTTTTATTAAGATGTTATTTTTGTACTGATACAGTACACTTCGCTCTTGCCATGGCTTTCATCGCTATGTGCAATAACTTATACGAGAAACTAGCAACGAGGGAGAGGAAGAAAGGTGTCGATCGCGTAGCAAAAGCTAGAATAAAAAGAACAAGAGATGTCAGTAAAGTGAGGTGAATAAAAGTCGAAAACGGGCTAGTGTTGACTGTTGAAGAGAACACTACTCGCAGCCGACGACGGATACACTTCCAAGCGTTACCGGACGAAGAACATTCCACAGAGGTCTCGAACGAGTTTCAAGAAACCAGGAATTTGTCGATAAGAACTTACCTGATGAAGCTGAGAAAGGCGTTCATCGAATGAAACATAAAGGGTCCCATTGCCTAGACAGCGTCTCCATAAAAGTGTGGAAGGCACTGGGGCAAGGAGGTGTGGTTCGCTCCTGTACATTGTTAAAATCATTGAATGTGAAAAGATGCCGGAATCATTTTGTCGCCAATGTATAATATGAAGGAGGACATGCCCTCCCGTGAAAACTGACGGAGAGTTAAATGGCTCAGCCACACCATGAAGCTATACAAAAGGGTGCTGAACAAAACACCGACGAAGGACTTCGATATCACTGCGAACTAATTTGGCTTTATATCAGGCTGATCAACTGTGGACGTCAGTTTTGCTTTATGATCAGTCCTCGAGACACGCAGAGAAGGCAGACAGAGCACTGGTATTATGTTGAAAGCTTCTGATTGAATTTCGAGACAGACAGTTTGGTGGAGCATGAAAGGGAGGCTGGTGCCAGAGAAATTTCAGGCTTAAACATGTATCAAAAACGTACACTAGCGCGACAGTAATATTTCCAAATACCTGTGGCGGAACAAAAATTTTCTTTACAGATAGAAGTAAATCAGTGTACAGCACAAAACCCATATCTTTTGCCGATAGCGGCTGGCGGATAACTAATGATCTTCAAGAAGGAATTCCCTTCTATGTGCGGCATACAGACAACGTTCTGCTAAGCAGAGAAGCACTAGAAGCAAAAACCGAGACATGAAGAGCAGTCACTGACATGAACTTCCTTCGGCTCAATGGAAGGAAGTCAGAATATGTCGGCTATTTCAGTGAGGAGAACAGAGTGAAAGCCAGCAAATCAGTAAAAGCTGCGGAGAGTATTCTGCCTCAGACCTCAGAACTCTAGTATCTTGGTTCCATCCTCCAAGACAAAGTTGAAAACGGCAATTAATTAAGAGATCGATGGAAAATGCACGGCTGAAAAGGAGGGGGGTGAACGCTGTGCGGTGCGAGAAGAAAATGCCCATCAAACTGAACAGAAGGTGTACAGAAGGATAATAAGACAGGTGCCTCTGTGCGGAGCGAAATATTTGGCTACCCCGAAAGTACGAGTAACAGCCAAACTGCTTATAAATGCGAATGCTGAGGTGGATATATGACATCAACAGAAAAGATCACATCCGAAACAGCTCAATAAAAGGCACTTTAGGCTTATTTAGTTTCAGGAAAGCTTAACGAATGACCACCTCCACATACCGTCTGAATGTTGACGGTTCTTTGCTTCCAAGCCATTTTTTGAACGCTGCCTTCTCGTTAACTGTCGGTTGTAACTCTCGTGTACACCATGAAGATGTTTTCTGACCTCCAGCAGGCACGCCAACCCGTTTAAATCTGCAGCATTCGGAGGCAACCCGAGAATGCCGCTCTTAAAGAGTTGCCATTCGGTTTTCCACATCAGTGGTCATATCCGGGATCTGTTCAATCCGTCTTGCGTTAATCTGTGCAAATTTGGCTCTACATCGAAGATAATGTTTCCCATTTAATTCTCCGGTTGCTTCTGCCACCGGATCTTCGTATGTACTCCATTC